ATCAGTTTGAAATATGAATTACCTCAAGAAAGGGATATGATATACCCCAAAATGTAGCAGCATCTTTTGTGCAAGTATTTGCGCTAAACACAATTTTTATAAACATCGAGTAAATTTTAAAAATTAAATAAATTATTAATAAGAAATTATTCATGGCTTCAGTTATGGAGATATATAATTACATTTAAATATTTATTATTTACATTTATATACTTATTTATAAGCAATATTTATATCTTTTTAAAATTAGTTATATTATTAAATTTATAAGTTAACAATATTATTAAATATATAAGTTAATTACTTATATATTTAAAAATAATTAATTACTTATATTGAAAGAATCGGAAAATTTCAACCATTTAAATAGCAATTTATTTTATGAGATTAAAAAATACCAGCAACTGTCTGAAATTGTGAAATGATATAAATAGTACAAATATATTATTCAAATAATAACTTTTAACGCTATTCTTATAATTATAGGTTCTCCTGAAATCATAATGGATACAAATACTTTATTTGGTACATTTTAGTTTTGTGATAACGTACTTATAATTTAATCGATTTATGTTGAGTGAAAGCAATTATGAATAATAAATAACGCAAAAAAACAGTCGAACATAGGAAACTTTGAGTCCTTTTTCCAGACTATATTTTATTCATTTTATTGACATTTGAACTTTAATACAAAACGCAATATCTATAAGACCATGGTATGACGAGTTTTCTGAATATCGATCGTTTTTTTTCTACAATATGTAATTTAAGATTTAACCATACACTCCGTTTCACCAGAGTGGAATTCGGATCAATACCGATCCCAATTGCTATTGCTTGGGTGGAGCGACTAGGGCGGATGCTGAGCACACGCCATTATGGAGTGCAAACAATCGGAAAAAGGCAGACAAGAACTATGGAGGCAGATTGTAAGGAAAAAAATTCTATGGAAAAGATGCGTCATTCGTTCTCGATGAGATCATTTCAATACGGTTCGATTGTGATTGGTCGTCGTGTGGGTATGATTGCTTTGATTGTTTCCAGTGAATAATTACAGTGCAAATAATAAAACAAATGAATAATCTGGCGTGTAATAGTTTCTATTTTTCGAAGTTACTATGCGTTTTCGAGGTTTTTATTAATTAATTATTTCTATAGACAAGACAGATACTACAGCTGTTCAAAGAATAAGACTGTATCGCCAGCGAAAAAGCAAAAAAAAACAAGCAGTCAATGAATATATGTTAATTTTAATTACATGAAGTTCTTCAAACACAATTACATGATAAGTGAATTTTCTTTAGGCGTTGTGCAACATAAAAATTACAGCTGTCCACTGTGTGAACCATATTATACAATGTATTAATCAGCAATTACTTCATTTCTCTAATGAATTTTCAAGTTTTAATTGCCCTAAATACTAGTTACAATGACAAACCGATCATGTTATATTTGGAGTATGATTTGAATTTCATTATTGTTTTCAAATATTATAAATATTTTTAATGCTATTATAAATATATAATATAGAATTTATTGTTATATAAATATGTATGGCATTATAATAAATGTGTGCATCACCACTGTTACCATATGATAATACTTAATACATTTATTTTATTTTTAACTTAAATGCCACCTTGTACAATAGCAAAAAAGTTTTACTTCAATCGCGTGTGAACCTTACGCGCATTCTTGTGAATGGATAAAAGATTGGTGAATTCAGTATCTTTCGATTTTATCTGATTAAAAGTTGTATACGCAAAAGCGTGTCTTTTCAAATCCAATACCTCTGTAGAGTTTTGTAAGAAATTACATAAGTTTGTCGTTAGCTTTCTGACATTATTCATTAATTTTTTGATGATTATATATGATTTCATTAATTTTAATGATTGAGAAAAAATCGCACGCAGTGTTAGCCATTTATGCTTTTTTATCTATGGAGTTAACGTAATTTTCAATTTTAAAGTAATGTTTAAATCTGTGTCATGTTGGTATGACTGTGAATCTTATAACCAACGGCTTGTAACCAAGTTCACATGAGAGTGTACGAGAATTCGTTGACAGATTCAATCACAACGGGTTTTTGACTCTTAGCACTTCTTAGCGCCCCAAAGTGCCCCAAAGCGTCAAATTCTGTAGAAAAGTTACATATTTGTGTCTTAATCAGTTTTTCATAGTTGAATATTAATATATTGTGCAAAACAATCACTTTATGTTAAGAATAATTTGCTTTTTCGGCTACAAGTAAGTTTTAACCGTTCCTCTTTGTTGACTTTTTAACAAATCAATCGAAATGTCAACGAAACGCAAACTATTGATTCCTAAAAAAGTAAGTGATATTGAAGAATTGTATTCACATATAGAAGACCCTGATGAGAAAGAATTTTTGTTGCATATGGGAGTCGATATGATGGAGCATGAGGCATTCAATAACCCGTAAGTGCTGTAAATTAATTTTCACACATTTTAACTAAAATATTTAGAATTAAAATTGTTTAACTTGTTTCTATATATTTCAGTGATTACAAATATAATTGTAAAGACTTTGAACTAGGAAATCCTTTAGGAAAAGGAAAATTTGGTAGGGTATATTTAGCTCGAGAAAAAAAGACAAAATATCTTGTCGCATTGAAAACCCTATTCAAATCAGAAATTAAAGCAGCAAAAGTTGAACGTCAGGTGCTTCGTGAAATTGAGATTCAAAGTAAATTGAAGTAAGTGTAAATTTAGTTATTATGGCAGAAACTATAAATTTTGTGTAATAAAAGGTTTAATACAAAAATTATGTAAAAGCAACTCATATTTCATTATTTTACTTTTTAAGACTTTTGAGGTTTTGAAAATGGATATAAATAGGATCTTGATCAATGGCATTCATTGTTGTTTGCTTAATTCTTTTATTATTATTATTATTATTCTTTTTATTAAATAGATATGTTTTAAAGATTGATTTATGTGCATGAATCACTATTTATAACAATTTACATAGCTATATGTATGAGTGTATATATATATATATCCAAAATAACAAATGTTTTGTACAGACATCCAAATATTCTGCGGCTTCTCACATGGTTTCATGATGAAAAGAGGATTTATTTAGCACTGGAATTAGCTGGTCAAGGTGAATTATATAGACATTTGAAGAACTCTCCCCATGGAAGATTCAACGAAATATTGTCTGCTAAATATACTTTCCAAGTGAGTTAAATGTAATTAGATGTGGAAACTGATTTTGATCTTAACACCCCTTACAGTGAAAATTTTACAAATAGAATTTAATAGAAATTTTTAAAGCAATACTGGTTTTCTTATAGGTTGCAGATGCCCTTCATTACTGCCATTTAAATGATGTGATACATAGAGATATAAAGCCAGAAAATTTGCTTTTAACTTATGATGGTGATGTGAAACTTGCTGATTTTGGCTGGAGCTGCCATGCACCACGTAGCAAGTGAGTCTATTTAAAATTATTTAGAATTCTTTTTATAATTCTTGTTTGTAGAAATTAGATATTTACTGCATATAATAATTGTTAAGTTTATTCATATAATTGTTTTTTCTATGCATTTAGATTTTATTATAAATGCGATTTTAGTATATTACCCATACTTTCAAAGCAAGAACATAAGTTCTAATATTTTCTTTTCAACAAAGCTCAGTTTGGTAAATGATTTAACACAAGAAGACTTTAATCATACTTCTAGTTCTAATTCATATTTTTATCAAATTTAAATTTTAAATTGATAACAATTAATAATATTATACTCACATGCTTTATGCTTATTTTGCAGGCGTACCACACTTTGTGGAACCTTGGATTATCTCCCTCCTGAGATGGTGTACAACTGTGTCTACGATGAAAGTGTGGATGTTTGGTGTTTAGGAATTCTCTGCTATGAGTTTTTAGTTGGAAAACCGCCATTTGAAAGTGAAAATGCAAAACAAACTTATGAAAGATTAAGAAGTCACCAGTGCAATTTCCCAGTTATTTATCAGCTGGATCGAAGGATTTAATTAGTAAACTGATCAGGCGGAGATCTGATAACAGAATAAGCTTACCTTTGGTGATGCAACACCCTTGGCTGGTAGAATTGTATGTAAGCAAAATAAGAAGATAAGTTTTCAGTTGACATTTCATCATGCTGTTTTGCATTGACTTTTTTTAACAATATTGTTACATTGTTTTATTTATTTTTATGCAAATATGTTTAACATTCAATTATATTAGGGTTTTTAAATGTGACGAGTTGAATTTTGTATAGCCAACCAAACAATTATTTTAATATAATATTATAACTTTGAAGCGTTTGAACATTTTTTAGATTCAATGTATAAGTAATTGTTTAATTTTTTATAGATTTTTTTTTTCTTATTAAGTATCATATTCATTGGCTATTTAAAATTAGTTACAGTTGCTAACCTTTTTCTTCATCTATTGGCAATATGATTGAAAGGTTTAATTAGATAACAATTATAGAAAAAAATTAGAAATATGATATGATAATATTATGAATGAATTTTGAGAGCACTAGTTGAATCTTAATTTTAAGTAATGGTTTTGTAAGATATAAATTGGCTTAACTTTAAATAAATAATTTTTTACAAGGTTATTATCAAGAAATTTCATTTAAATAATATCATTCTGCCTACCACTTGTCTAGCTAAGGATCTTCACATACACTTTTTCTTGAACATTTGTACAATACACACACACACACAATTCACTTGTATTTCTAGGAAATATATGAAAAGCAATATCTACATTTTCAATATGTATTTTGTTAGAAAAAAATGCAACCATCTGATCTGTAAATAAATACATAAGAATATGAGAGACTGATAAAAATAGTTTTTAAACTTCTTCAAAGTAATATTTATTAATAAAATATATTAATAAGAATTATGTTAACAGTTATAATTCTATGGAATTTTATTATATGCAAAAAGGTTGTCATCTATTGTAGATGGAATGGAGGCATCTTAATTATCACAGCTTATGGCAGGTTTAGGACGATGAGTATCAAAGCATCAATAGAGAAATTTATATACTCCATTCTGCATCCATATGCTACAGGTGTCAACTTTATTATTGTATGTAGAGGTACTTTCAGGTAAGGCAGTTCGTCTAAAAATAATTAGCCCTGAGTATTTCAAAATACATAGGAATTTATATTACTGGATAGTAGCTGTCCATCTAAATGAAACAAACATAATTCTCATTCACCTGCAGATTTATCCAGAAAGTATGCCAACAGACATCTCAATACAGCCTGATGCGAAACTACTAATACATTCCCTTGACGTTCCAGTTCCATGATGACAGGTTCTAAGCGAGCAACCAAATCTTCATAACTTTCACCTCTTGGATAGCGGTAAGCAAATTTATTCGCATCTCTAGAAGCAAACTCTTCAGGATACTTAGCTTGAATTTCTGCATAGGTCATTTCTTCACATATACCCTGATGATCAAAATAATATTGAACTCTTTATTACATTCTCATAATAATAATTATTATTATTATTAAATGTATATTTAAACATGTTCTAAAACTAATAAGAATAAGTTCAATGAAATCAATTCTTAACCCTTAAAGTGTTTGAAACTTTCAAAGTATTCAGAATATTGAAAATATTGAGAAGTTGATAATCAACAAAATATATTTTATTGATTCAAAATGAGTTCTAATTCGGAATATCCAGAGGTTTGTACACTAAATTTTTGTTTTGCTATATCATTTAACCAGAGATTTTTTTTACTGAAAAGTATATCAATTTAAAGAACAAATAAATGGTAAAGAACACTAATTTGAACAATTTTGTGACTAAATTTCATATATATCTATAGTACTATTTTGATTGCACAGTGGCTAAAGCAAATATGAAGTGATTTACTTATTTGTTTTTTCCTCAAGAAACTTTTACTGCAAGCCAAAATTATAAATTTTAATAATAATAAAATAGATTTTTATGCTTACTGCATCAAGCTCATTTACGCCTTCCATCGCTCTTGTGGTGCTGGAACGCTACTGACAGTTTGAATTGTACGTTTCATCCATGATGTCCAAACACGTAAACCGTCTATCTAAAAACAATAAATATTAATATATAAATTATTCTGAAATATATATTCTGAAAACTTCATCAAACTAATAATTTAAACATTTCAACAAAAATTAGTCATTCAGTAAAATATTTCTAGTGATTGAAGGATTCATATCAATCATAGACTACTATATTAATAATAATTTAATAATTTAATATATATTATTATATTAATATTTAATA